TAGAATATATAATTTAAAAACTAAAATTTTTAATGAAAAAAAATCACATAAAATAATATAATAAATAATAAATTTTAAAATTTTTTAAAAATGAAAACTCACATTTTGAATTTTGCAATTCCTCTGTAAACAGTTATTTCACATAAAGTAATTTACTGTAAGAAACCTTAAAGACGTAGTAACTTTAAGAAATAAAGTAAGTACATCTATATATTTTGATATCACCTGATGACTAAAAAATATAACTAACGTAAGTTTGCCTTTGTCAGTATAAGGAAAATTAACTCGACGATAACTTAAACATATCAATAAAACATTCAATTTACAATTTTGTAATTAAAAAGAGCCACGAAGCGCTATAGAGCTTGCATCCCACACTGAATTTAATCCCGCGGGACTAGAATGCGGGAGTTATAGGGATAAATCCAAAAAGTTGATTTTTTCGAAAACGGCTGAACCGATTTCAATGAAAAAATTATATGTTATTGCTGTCAATAAAGCGATTAAAAAAAAGAATTTTGTAGAAAAATTTTGAAAATTTTTTTCGGATTAAATATTTTGGTACTATCGCCAAAATTTGTCTGTGAATCCGCTTCCTTTTGTAAAAACAGTAACCAAACTTTCGTTAGAATTGGAGAGGTAGCTCATAGTTAAAATTAGTATTTATTACAAGTGTGTTCCATTCACAGGATATATTTAAGGAAGGGGGTCAGATTGGTTAAATTTTCATCTGTCAAAATTAATCAATTATTTTTTTCTGGTATTATTTAGGATGCAAAATTATTATATATTATTAAAATTGAAGAAAAAATACTTTTGTTTATTTTAAAATTTTGTTTTTGAAAAAATTAAAATTTTCCAAAATACATATATAATTATTCAGAATCACGAGAAAAGCGTATAAAAATTTTAACAAAAAGTTGTGGAAACAGTGGAATTGAGGATTGAATTATTATTTTTCCTATTCAAAATATATAAATACTGATTTCAAATATAATTATAATTCTTAATATGTATTTTGGATGTATTTTTGTTTATTAACAGAAATAGAATACAAAAATATTTCATTGTTAGTAAAATCAAAAATTTGTATGCCAAATTATTTAGCATGATCGAGTGTAGGGCGAATTATATAATAAGAATGCCCCTGAAGAAACTAAGCCATGAGGTGTCATGGCTACTGCTGCAGTATAAGGAAAAATAGTTTTTCACTATTTTCCTTATAACTTCTTTATTTTTTATAGAATTAATTGAAAATTTTTGGAAAAACTTCTTAAAATGTGTAAGGAAATACTTTGTCACGAGATGTTTTTCCAGAATGAAAATTCCCTCAATAATTTTTTCAGTAGAAGGTTGCAAAACACATATTTTCAAAATAAAAACTTTATTAAATAACATATTAAATAACAATTTATATATTATATTATTCTTTTTTTCTCATACTTTTTTAAAAAAAATTTGGTAATTTTTTGTCTAATTGCTTTACTGACAGCAATAACATATAATTTTTTCTTCAAAATCAGTTTAGCTGTTTTTGAGAAAATCAACTTTTTCTATTTTTGCATTTAAAACTAATTCCCCTATGAAAATTTCATTTGCACATAAATACCGCCACTCAGGAAAAATTACAAAAAAATCGGTGCCAAGGCACGAAACACATTTTATTACCCTTATTCAGTACATTGTTATAATTATTTAAAAAGTGATTTCTAATCTAAATCTTTATTTAAAAACATTTGTTCATCTCTTGATGTCTCTTTCTTCAAAATTATATCCACATTTTTTCCTCTAGGGAATATGCAAACTGTGAGTCCTCTGCTTCCTTATAGTTTTCTTGCAATTTAAATTCTAATTCTTCTTTTAAGGAAATGGTACATTTCTCTCGGTCCTGCTTCTCTTCCAAAATCGTAGATTTATCTGATGTATTTAAATTATTATCTTCGTTCGGAGCAACTCTACGTAACAAATTCTTGATTTCTTTTCGAATTGCTAATTTTTTGGTCATAGCAAACGAATCGTCTATTGTATTTTTCGAATCAGTTTCAAATTTATTTAGATTTTGTAAATTACAATATTCTGGTCAAATGTGTGCGTCGTTTTTTTACCCTTGTGCAAAGTACTGTGGTCAAATCATCATTCAAAATAAAAGTTTTCTGTTTTAATTTTTCTACTATAAATCGAGGAGTCGTTTCTGCAGAAATTTTTGGAATCTATTAAAGCATTGGTTACGTATAGTCTTAGTTTTTTTACCGCTCTCTTCCTGTACATATTTGTGTAAAAAGATAATTTTTTGTTAAAGACTTTCTAAAAACTTTCACAGCTTCTCACACTTTTAAAACAAGATCTGTATAATCAGACATCAATTACACTTCTGTCAATAAAGGACATACGATGAAGATTAAAATCTTCATTTTCAAAATCTAATTCGTCTTCTTCGTTTGACAATTCAAGTTGAAGTGGTAATTCAATTACTGACTGATCTTCTTCTTAAACATTTGACTTCTTCTTATACAAAATGTCAACGATTGCAAGCTGTATATACCATACACTTGCTTCATCAGTTATACAAATTATATCCTTAATTTTCAGTTGAAAACGGTTTAGACGTTCTTCAATTAATTTAACGAAATATTCCGCTGTACAAAATCCAATTATTCGAACTAAACCAAGATTCAAAAGTTTTTCTTTGCGATGAATGTTAACGGCGATGTATCTTTTATTTTTCGGAGATGTTCATTCATCGAAAGTCACTGAGAATTTTCGATTTTGTTCTCGAAGTTTATTAATCTCACTTATATTATTTTTGACAGATTCTGCAAGCGAAAGAACTATTGACCTTATTATATTGAATAAATCTGGCAGTTTATAGTCTTTTTAGAAAGAGTTTCCTTAAATCCAATGATTTCGAGAAAACATTAAAAGAAAAGCCATCTTTCGCAATTAATCGAGATACTGTGCATTTTCATTAGTCTCGCCTTTTGCAAAATAATTCCATACAGTTTTAATATCAGTTTCTTCTTCAAGACGATATGATAAAAATTTACACTATTTGATATGATTACAGGAGGATTTACATTTGCTTATGACATTCAATAACAATATTGTCGGACAGTATCCATATTGTACATGAAACGCCACGAGCCGATAATTCAAATCTCTGTATGATACGCACTAGTTAATTATAATTAATAAGAAGATAACACACTGTATTAGAAATGTGATAAAATAGACAACTTGAAAATTTTGAAATCCCGCGGGATTGCGAGCTCTAAGCGTGTAATGAGAATGTATCATTTTTTTAAATTCATTAGAAATTGTAAATGAAATAGTTTTTTTAAAAGTAAATTATTGTTTTTAATATTTCCATTTCTATAAAATAATTTTTTTTGAAAAATTTAACTGTAAATGGCGAAAATCCGAAGGTGATATATTTTTTTAAATCTCTTTTTATTTAGTAATATATTAAAGTTCATTAGGATTGTTCGTTTAAATTTTTGTATAGTTGTGCGATTCCAGGTGAGATTTTGACTTTTTCGGAGTAGGTTAACCGATTGCAATGAAACTTTGGAATTTTGTTATATATAGTAAGACTAATCTTTAACGTAAATTTTAGCTTAAAATATTTGTTAGTTTACGAGAATTGCAATAATAACAAAAAATTTTAAACTGCTATATCTTCCGTTCTAATAATCGGATTGAGGTCTACTTTTTTTTAAAATGTCAAGGAAAATTAGAGGAATAAATCTCTTTCAGAACAATTTTTTATAATTTTACAACTAAAAAAATTATTAAATAATAATTGAATAAATTTCACGCGACAATCTAAAATTCAATCACTTAAACGCTAAAATGATCTTATCAGTGTTTTCTTTAATGTTCCAAAGGAATCCAATTGTAAATGCAAGTTTAACTTGGTTAATTTTAATAATTTACGAGTATAAACAATTGCGATTTCTGCTAGTTGACGTGCAGACGACATTGCGCACGCAGCATTCTCACGTAGCCAATTTAGTCCACGAATCAAGTCAGCTGGTTACATGAGAATGCTGCGTGCGCAATGTCGTCTGCACGTCAACTAGCAGAAATCGCAATTGTTTATACTCGTAAATTATTAAAATTAACCAAGTTAAACTTGCATTTACAATTGGATTCCTTTGGAACATTAAAGAAAACACTGATAAGATCATTTTAGCGTTTAAGTGATTGAATTTTAGATTGTCGCGTGAAATTTATTCAATTATTATTTAATAATTTTTTTAGTTGTAAAATTATAAAAAATTGTTCTGAAAGAGATTTATTCCTCTAATTTTCCTTGACATTTTAAAAAAAAGTAGACCTCAATCCGATTATTAGAACGGAAGATATAGCAGTTTAAAATTTTTTGTTATTATTGCAATTCTCGTAAACTAACAAATATTTTAAGCTAAAATTTACGTTAAAGATTAGTCTTACTATATATAACAAAATTCCAAAGTTTCATTGCAATCGGTTAACCTACTCCGAAAAAGTCAAAATCTCACCTGGAATCGCACAGTTGATATAGGTCACTTTATTTTGTGTATCAATTTTTATAAATTAACACCAGATTTTTAATTAGTAACCTTAAAAATTCCTAGGTAATAAGTTTTAACAAAATATCATTGCTTGATTTTTCGAGGACACAAAAGGGTTATTTAAAAATGGTAGTTCCAATATGTCGGAAGATTTTTTAAAAATTTATCAGATTTACTTAAAATTTGATACTCAGGGGTTTTCGAAGTAGCTGATTACTTATCTAGCATCAGATTTTAAAGATACAAATAGGCGGATCCAATACAGAGGATTTTTTTTAAATATCATCATATTCGCTTAAAACACTTTATGTTGTATTGTCTTCTGCAAAATTCGATTAAAATTTGAGGAACTAAGTTTTTGCTGCATTTATTGTATGAGAATAAGTATTTCTTAAAAATGTTTTTTAATTTTCGAATAATTATACAAAACTAAAATTCTTATTGCAGCAAGCCGAAGAAAAAAAGGGGACCTAGAAAAAATCAGTGAGTAATAATTAATTTATTTTTTTATACAATAATATTATGTACCATTAATTGGTGCTTGTATTTGATCGAGTCGATCGAGAGTAAGAAAATTTCGCATTTTTAAATTCAAATTTTTATAATATCGTCTTCTTAATGCGATTTGAAGAAAGGGACCTAAGAAGCAAAAAATAATAGGTTATATTTTGAAACTTTAAAGTGAGAATACACAAAGTGAATTACTCTCAATACAATCCATTAATTTTCATTACATCCAAAATATTCAATAAAAACTGATTTTTATTTTACATGAGTAAAAAGGAAATTTTAATCATGATTTTAGGTTCCTTTCTTCATTATCACGTCACATATTTCTTACAATATAAAGTCACTTTACAAATTTATAAATAATATTTAAGGGTTTTAAAAAATTTTAATTAATGCAAGAGAAGAGACATTACAATACTAACAATATAATAAGGATATATGATATGAATTACTTATTATAAAAAATGTTAAAATTTTAAATCTTTTTTATTCTCTTTATTCAAATTTACTTAATTTTTTTTATCACTTTTATATCAATTAAAAAGAGTTGTACTGAATTTTTTCCAAATAAAAAATGTCTACGATATACTATAGGGAATTTTTCTAATATTCTCAATATTATGCTTCAGATTATCGGCGTCAAAAACAATTCTTCCACGTAGCATTAAATTATCTAATTATTTTGAAACGAACGATACACATGGAAACGAAAATGAGAATTCCCCTACACATTCAATTGAAGATTCACCATCAAATCCGCCTCAAGACATAGATAATAGACTTAAAAGTCTACATATTCAGCCAAGACCGTAAGTTAATATTTAAATGTAAAAATAAAGAATTTTTTAATAAGTGCAAATTAAATTTAAATCCAGAATGCTTAAAATAATTTATTTTAAGATTAAATCTCTTTTTAAAACTTCGTCCAAAAATTACGTCACAATTTGTATACCCCTATAATTATTTTTTTCAAAATTAATTTTCTTTTAAGAATCTTTAGTGCGTTTACCTTTACTGTAGAGTACCATTAACCAAATAAATTTTGGCGGGATTTAATAATGATTTAATGTTTTTTCAATATTTTTTTATTATTGTAAATTAAATTTTATTCAGCACTATGCTGAATATTTCATTATTTTTGTTTAAAAAACGAAAAAGAAATGAGAAAAAAAATTTTTTTAGGGGGTCCGGAACATAGAAATCACCCTGTATAGTGATTACCCTGTGACATAGTAAAATAAGATATCCATCCCCTCCTCTCCCTTTGTCACAATCAGTCACATTTTACTAAACCCACTCCTTCCCTAAAATATGTGACGTAATTTGTCCACGAAGCCTTATTGTAAAACTTAAGTAGTTTCAAACAATCACTCTTTATATTTAACAAATATAAGAGTGCTTAAAAAAATCTGTCACTCATTAATTAAAGATTACTAGGATTTTTAGAGTCTTAAAATAATTTTTAGAAACTACCATTTACGTAAAAATCTTATTTAATTAAAAAAAATTTTTAATAAATTACTATGCGCAACAATTTAAGATGAATTAAAATTTCAGTTTAATATATATAGATGAATATATCGTTCATTTTTTTATAATTTTAAAATAATAAAAATTTGTTATTCAACTACTATTTTTTATTGTACTTTAAGAATGTAGGTATTTGTTTTCATTGAATTATTTTTTCTATAGGCGAAAAAGTGTGGATCAATCAGAACCTAGAGAGCTGAGAAGGACTGCTAGAAATTCTGGCCGATACGTTCAAGGTCAATATATGGTAAGTGATATATAAAAAATTGAAAAAAATTTTTTTTTATTTATTTGCAAATTCTAAAAAAATATTTAGGGACATGTGAATATTCCCCACATTAGAACTGCAAAAATTTTTGTGGCGTTCCTCAACATTTATCCTAGTTACTTTTTCCAAAAGTACATTTTTGCGAATGCGGAGAATTTATTCTATTGCAGTATTTGAATTGAAATTTTTTTTCATTACAATTAGTTTGAATTTGAATTTTGCAAATGCTCTAAGTGCGTATTATTAATTAATAAACCACAATTTAATTTGTTCTACAGGAGTCAGATTCTGAATAAGAATAAAAAAGGTTCTACACTCACGCTAACAAGAGACTGACTGTATCAAAGAGTTACGATCGCTTTCTTCTTCAAAGAAAAAATTCTGATTGCACAAAATCTCTTTTTAAATGTGATTTAAGATTAGGATAAAAATTAAACTTCCATACTACTTTAATACAAGTTTTAAAAACTTTAATAGACCTTATGTGTGCAATCGGATACGAAGAATTCGTTTTAGTTTGTTCTTTTTTGTTTTATATATATATATAAAATGTTTAATTATATTAACTTCTTTTATAAACTAATAAGGTTACTTTTTTTAAGTATGATTAAAACAGAAGATATTATTAGTATGTTGTAAACAATTACAATTAGTGTAAAGATTTTTTTAAATTACAACAGTTATTCATAACATTAACACTGTTATCTTCGACTATTGTTTATAAAACTAACTCGACTATAATATGTAATAATTAAGTATCTCAATATTTACTACTTTAAATTATTATAAATTCGCAAAAAAATAATACTTGTAGAAGATTTCCAACATAATTATTAATATAGCATAAGTATTAATTTTCTTTCAAAAATTATAAAAAAAATTCTACGCAAATACATTTTTATTTTCTCTTTAAAATGTATTTTTAAATTTTACAAAAATAAGTTACAAAATGTTATGGTCCGCTTGTTTTCCATAGGAAAAATGTATGGTGCATAAATGTATCCATGTGTAATATATATTAATTTAACCAGTGGCCTAATAAAACTCTGCATAAAAATCTCCCCAATGTTTAAATTAAATGATTTAAAAAAATAAAATCTTTTTAGACTTATAATCTTTCTATACTTATAATCAGAAAATTTTATGCAGGGTTTTAGTTTCCAAGGGCTAATAACTAAATTTAGGATAAAGAGAGATTTTGATTTTATACTTATGTTTAAAATTTATCTTATAGTTAATATTTATTTTGTAGTTATAAAACGCAATCATACATTAACATAATCGTATGGTCTCGAATGATTAAAAAATAGCTTTTTTACGATTTGAATCAAAGCATGGAGTATTTCATTTATTTATATTTTTATTCTTATCTTATTTGGTTGTGATATAATAATTATTTATCATTTTCAATCCATTTTTCAATATTTTAATAAAAAACTCTTAAAAATGTTAAAATTTCTTTGATATTATCCCGATTTAATTTTGTTATACCAAAAGTTTATTGAACCAAGTAGATAACTTTAGTATACAAGGTATACTTTGTAAGAGACTTTTTAATTAAACAAAATATATAATTAAATAGCAAAAACAAAACTTGAATTTATAAATAAAAAATTTTAATAAAATAAGTTAATAAATAATAACAAAGAAAAATTGTTAAAGACCAGGATGACAATAAACAAATAGAAGCCTAAATAAAAACAATAATAAACTATATAAAATTCACAGATTTTAGTTTTTACAATTACATATCCAAAAATTAATATGGTTTTCTAATCTTATAAAAATAAAGAAAATCACTTAAATGAACAATATTTTGGGTGCCACTCATTTCTTGGGACAATTCTCAAAAATAAAACAAAATAATATTTTATAAAATAAATAGAACTAGATTCTAATATGGAATACAGACAAAATAAACAAAATAGCAAAAATACACGAAAATCCAATTATTAGATAGAAATTTGGGGAAATATGCCGCTTGCTTAAACTGAGAAGGATGAGTTAGAGAAAATCACAATTCTCATATAGGATAAAATAATTGTCAATTTATTAAAAAGAGATCATTAAAAAAAAATATATCACAAGAATTACATAAAATTTTCTAATATCCCGACATTTAACGATTGTGAGCTAATCCGAAAAGCTATTTTAAGTGTATTCTATACTGAAATTAACGCAACACCAAAAAAAATTTACAATAAAATAAAGAAAAGAAATCGCGCTCTTTGATAAATAATTTGCCAGGTTAAATGGTCAAAATCAATTTACACGTGGTCAGCACAAATTACAGTTTTCACACATAATTATTATAAAAACCACAATAAAATTATGAAAAAAAATAAGTGACACAGTATAAAATAAAAGGGGTATTTAAATTATCGTTAATCGAACATTGCGATAATTAAAAAAAGGGAAAAACTATCATAAGGCAACTTTATAACAAAGGGATGAAATTATCGTAGATAGAACACTACGATAATTAAAAGGGGAAACTCGTGTAAATGCACGTTTTTTTAAGATTTTTTTAAAAAAGGTGGTCCCCGTGTAGAAATCACCAACGTATGCCTTGAAACAGGAATAACTTACTTTACTATTATTAAAAATTTAATATTCCTTCACCACACGTGGCTGGGTTCAAAGCTGTGTGGGTTCAAGTTAACAGAATTTAAACAAAGTTCAAAGATAATTTCAAAAATATTATCAGGGTTGCCGGCGCCAGTCGACTAAATGTCGACAATTTAATTAATTACAATTGAACATGAGACATTTAATTATAAAACAAAAGAACAAAAAGGGGGGGTAAAATGTGTGAACCCAAAATTTAATACCAAGAGTGTCGACTGAAAGATATATATTTTCACAAGAAATCTACTTACATTTTGGAGAGATGCACTCTTCAAACACCCGAATTGGGCAATTTCTACGTGACTCACACACTATAATATTCTCACAGAATAGTCGACAAAATAAGTTTAGAAAAATGAAAAACGTGTATACGTATCGGCGTTCGATCCAAAAGTGATCATGATGCGACTTGTTGCTTTGACGCCGGTCTCGCATGCGTCGTTACCATGACAACGCCAGGATCATACATCGATAATCAATTAGAGGTTCAATAAAATATTTATAAAATAACAATAAAGTTTATCAACACTTGTTAAATTTTTACGAATAAGGAGACGCGAAAATACTGCCTGTTACACTATCCCCTTTCAGACGTGTCGATATATGAGGAAAATTTTATCTGTAAAAGAACTTTAAATTTTAAAATACACTAGAACCTCTGAAAAAATCGATATATAAACAAAACATAAAATAACATCCAAGGTAGATCACCTGTGATACATCCCTCATGGACACTAAATGTGCTGTAAAATTTAATCTCAAATTCCATTTATTCGACTTTTCATTTAACATATACAGATTTTTCATCGTATTGTCGTCTCAGATTACAATTTTTCAAATCTTATAAAAAATAATCAAAAGAATATAAAGTAATGAAATATCAAAATTATATAAAAAAAAATCTTTGGATTAGGAAAACGTCCACATTATTATTCCGAAGAATTTTTGAACTACGTCGGAACGATGATTTTCAAATCCTGTCCGTCAAAGAGTTCTGGTCGCTTCCTTATCACCTCCTCGATGGAATCGGTCGATATTGAGGCCAACAAAGCCTCGATTGCGCGTTGGCAATTGTCGACTCTGTTTTAACGGAGGTTATTGTCGACACTGATCGGTTATTTTGACTATCTGCAGCCGCCGCAGATTGTTCAATATGACAAAAAATGGTTCACCTATCTTTTCAGTCGACTCCAAAGCCACAGCATCCGGATCATCGGGGACATTAGTAGAGGACTCAGGAACCTCCACAGCACTCGTCGACGTTGTTTCATCGTTGTCAATGCCATCGCCGAATTGCGATTGAAGAGCCGCCATCATATTAGTAATTCGCTCTTAAGCAATTCTTAATTTCTCCATCTGGAGTCCAGCAGCTTCCCTATCGGCCGCTGGTAGGCTGTTGGACGAACTCTGCTTGCTACTCATGATGTCGACAGTTCAATCTGAAAAAAGATTCAAATTTCGACAACTTCTCCGGGGTATCTTTCAATCGGAAATACAATATTTTCCTATGATTTTTCCAGAACCATTTTTCAATTCCACCGTCGACGAACCAAGAATTCTACTGATTTTAACCGGTCCCAAATATTTATAGGCTAATTTCGCTGAGTAATTCTCGGCTTTATTACGTAGCCTCTTATTCGGGTAGTAAACCTCCATTCGTGACGCTCCACGAGAGAAGGGACCTATCCCCGAAATAACATTAGGCTCAGATTTCCGTGCACCGTACATGAAAACTAAGCCTAATATTATTTCGGAGATAGGTCCCTTCTCTCGTGGAGCGTCACATTCCTTCTTTAACTTCGACTGAAGTCGACCTACCTGCATTTGCAGTGGCAAGACGCCCATCAGAATATTTTTTCAGTCGACTTTCAATTTTATGTCGAAATTCGTCAATTGTTTTCATACGACCTACCCAAAATGAAACAGAGTCACTCAGCGACTCACTCAAATCAATCTCGGAATCATCTAATTCCCTCTTGACAATAGCTTCCCGCCCATGATTTAAGAAAAAGGGAGAAACTCTAGTTCCCGAATGTGGCACAGTATTATAGGCCAATTGTAGTTTCGTTATATTCTCATCCCACTCTTTATGATCATGCTTAAGGAACGCGGCGATCATTGGTTTAACAGTCCGATTAAACCGTTCGACCGGATTAGCTTGGGGGTGTTTTATCGGCGTTGTTATTTGTTTGACTCCCCTTGCTATCAGGTATGATGCTACTTCCCCGTTGACGATCTCCTTACTGTTATCTGTAAGTACCATTTTCGGAGTTCCCCATCGATCAAATAACGCATCAAGAATCTTTACAATTGCCTTACCCTTTTTTGCCCGTATTGGAAATAACTCTAAACATTTTGTATATAAATCCAACACTACTAGGACACATGTATTTCCCTTCTTCGTTCGCGTTTGAGTAAGAACCGTGTCGACAGACAGAGGTGTGTGAACTTGCGACCGACACTTTGAAATTTTAAAAATTTTTTTATAGCATTCAATTGTCCACGAAAAGTCCACCTTTGTCCAACAAAAGATTTTAATTGTCCACCTTTTGTTTAAATAAAAAATGGAAAAAATAATTTTTTCAAGTCGAAAGTTTAAAAATTAGTAATTAACATTGACTAGAGCACTCATCGGTTATTTAGCGTTAATAGACGTTTGTCCAACAGGAAATTTCTTTTCTAAATAAATATAAAAAAAAAAAAAAAAAGTTTATTTTGGGTAAAAATACTGAAATATGGCGAAATACCAATTTTACCGTTTCCACTACATTTATTGTTTGTCCACGGTAAGCTCAAATAGACAATCAAAGTTATGGCCCAAAACATTAATTCATTCATTCCTTTAGACCGTAAAAAAATTGAAATTGATAGTTTTCCACTTGAAACGCGATTTCTTTAAATTCTAGGGTTGGACAATTAAATATACTAGTTGGACAATTCTTAGTACTAGTTGGACAATTGAAATTGATACCAAATTCATTAATGAATCCATATTTTTTGACCGTACAGAAGAAGAAAAGTTAAAAGTGATAGTTTTTCACTGGAAACGCGATTTCTTTAAATTCTAGGGTTGGACAATTAAATATACTAGTTTTCCTTTATCTCTGCAATGCAAAGGAATAATTAAATAAATGATTTAGTGTATATTTTTAATTGTCCAATTAGTAGATTTAATTGTCCAACTAGTGGATTTAATTGTCCAACCTTTGATTTTTTAGGAAACGCTTTATAAGTAAAATACTATCAAATTTAAGTTTTATTCATATCTGCAGGCTAAAGGAATAAATGAATAGATGATTTAGTGCATAATTTTAATTGTCCAACTAGTAGATTGCATTGTACAACTAGTGGAATTAATTGTCCAACCTTTGAATTTTTAGGAAACGCTTTATACGTGAAATACTATCTAATTTAATTTTCCTTTATCTCTGCAATGCAAAGGAATAATTAAATTAATGATTTAGTGCATATTTTTAATTGTCCAATTAGTAGATTTAATTGTCCAACTAGTGGATTTAATTGTCCAACCTTTGAATTTTTAGGAAACGCTTTATAAGTGAAATACTATCAAATTTAATTTTCCTTTATCTCTGCAATGCAAAGGAATAATTAAATTAATGATTTAGTGTATATTTTTAATTGTCCAACTAGTGAATTTAATTGTCCAACTAGTGGATTTAATTGTCCAACCTTTGAATTTTTAGGAAACTTGTTACAAGTGAAATACTATCAAATTTAAGTTTCATTCATCTCTGCAGTCTAAAGGAATGAATGAATTGATAATTAGGGCATAA